GGAGAGGTTTTTGCTATAGGGCGCGTGCGCTTGCCAGACAGAGAGAGACATAGAGACAGAAAGCGAGAAATCATCCCCCAGGGGGGGATGGTCATGCCGTAATCCCTTCTCCTCCATTCTCCTCTCAGGATCTTGGGCACGCATGCACACGCGCCTGGCGTGAGTTTTAAGCCACCAGGCCCGGGACGCGAACCACAGTCGACTACGTGGGTGTCCAGCGACATAGCCATTACACTAACTGCTGGTTCCCAAGAGTGTTTTTTATGTGTGTGATGTTTTGTTTTGTTTTCCATAGGACACGTGCACTTGCTGATGAGAGACAAAGACAGTGAGAGGAAAAGTGGGAAACCTGACCCCAGTGGTGGGGGAGTGGCCATGCAATAATCCCTTCTCTATTCTCCTGGAATTTTGAGCACACATGCACATGGGCCTGGTATTCTTTTGAAGCCACCAAGTCTGGGACTCAAACTGTGGTCAGCCATGTGGGAGTGTGGCACCCTAACCACCACAGCACCTGCCGGCTCCCATGTGATTAATCTTACGTGTCAACTTGAGTGGGCCATGGTACTCAGATATTAGGACAGACATTCTGGAAGTTCCTATGGGAAGCATTTTTGGATGAAATGAATGCTTCAGTCAGTGGCCTTTGGAAAGTAAAAAGTAAAGCAGCTTACCCTTGGAAATGCGAGTGGGCCTTAACACAACCAAGAGCAAGCTCTCCCAAGCGACTGCCCTTGGACTCGGGCTGCAGCTGTTCCCTGGGCCTCCAGCCAGCCTGCCTTCTGGGCAGCTCTTGGGTTCTGTAAGCCTCATGGTCACATGAGGTGAGTCCTTGCCTCATGTGAGTTCTCTCCCTAAATCCTGCTGCCTCTGCTTCTCTGAAGGACCCTGACGACCACACGAGCCAACGACAAGGCACGCGCTTCCTCACGACAGCCTTTAGTAGGTGCTGCTATGCTCCCGTTTTACAGACAAGGAGACAGGAGAGGAGAGGCCAAGGACCTTCCCGAGGGGTGGTGTTGCTAGGGCGTTAACCCAGGTCCGTCTGACTCTTGAAACCCTTGTCTGTCCTGCATCCAGATGTCCACACATGGTGCAGGATGGGCTGGGGAGGGGAGCCACGGTGGCTCGTTACCTTGAGCCCATGTAGGTGAGCTGACTTGGGGAGAAGTACGCGTCCTGGCCTGTCTGCACCTGCAGGTCCTGTGCAAACGGCTGTTTCCTAAACCACAGGGACAGCTCCCTGCCCGGGCTGTCAGGGCTGTCGGCCTGAAGGGTCTTAGACCTGGGGGAGGTGAGTACAGACCCTGCCCCTGCCAGACCCCCCCACCCAGCTCACTCAGCTATCACTTGTGCACAAGGGCGTGGCCAGCAAGGAGCTCATGGGCAGCTCTGCTAGGGACAAAGGGAGGCCCAGACTGCTGGCCGGAGCACATGGTGGGGAAGCGTGACAACTGAGTTTTGTAGCCGGGGAGGCTCTGCTAATGCTTTCGAGTGAATGGTGTGCTTAGGGTCACGCTGAGGCAGTAGCAGAACTGGTTAATTACCTGCCTCTTCTCAAACGGCCTTGAGAGTAAGCTGAGCAGTAACTCCTACCTGACTCCTTGGCAGGGAGGATGGAGGCGGGGTGGAATGACTGCCCAGTCAAGCATCTGGCTGGAAGGAAGGGATTGGAACCCAGCTCTGTGGATGCCCTAGCCCTTGCTCCAGCTGCCTGCTCCATTGGTCCCCTCCCCATCCTAGGGGTGATTCAAGTCGTGGCTCACTCCATCCTCTGCCTTCCCTGGTCCCCAGACTTGGGTCTGATGGCTCTCGGGCCCAGTGCCTGCTGGGGTACCTGAGGCCTCTTTGCATGGTCACCACTAAGTCCCCGTGTCCACAGCAGCCCAAGGAGCCCCTTCATTTCCCTGCCATGGCCAGGGGCCCAGCCGCAACCCTGCACTCGGAGCGTGAACCATTTGGCTGAGGCCGGACATCCCTCCTCCCTCTGTCCACGGGCTGCCAGTCGAGCGTGCACTCAAAGGAAATGAGGGGCCACCTGTGCTGGCTCCTGGGGACCAGGGGGAGCTGAGGGGTGCAGACTCACCCTCTTAACAGAGTCACGTCTTCATTTCCACTGACCTGTCCTCCCACCCATCCCCACAGCTCCCCCACGTTCTGCTTAGAGGCCAGACCAGCCCATAGCAGGCCCCCGACTTGAACCCAGGCTGCATGTGCGCCTTGTGTGACATGCTTACACATCACGGCCACGGGGCTTCACAGCCATCCCCAAAGTTTGTGCTATACTCCTGTTTTATGGCTGGGAAAACTGAAGCATGGTTAAGTAGCACATTAGCAGGAAGAGACCAGACTGGGTCCCTGTTTCCCATTTCTGACTGCCAAGGCTCCGGTCATAGCCACCACTGTGTATAGCCCTGAGCCAGACAGGCCTGGGCTCAGAGCCCAGCCATAACCCCTCCTACCTGTGCTTTGACCGCCCAGCCTCAGACCTGACATTTATCTGGGAGCTGAGGCCAAACGACATTTTTTAAAAGAGGTTTTTGCTATAGGGCGTGTACACTTGCCAGAAAGAGAGGCCACGCTGCAGTCCCTTCTCCATTCTCTCGGGATCTTGAGCACGCACGCACACGCGCCCGGCGTGAATTTAAGCCAACGGGTCCGGGACTCGAACCGCAGTTGACTACATGGGAGTCCAGCGACATAGCCATTACGCCAACTGCTGGTCCCCAAAAGACATTTTTTAAAAAGTGTCCATTGTCCTGCCAGAGGGTCAGCTTCAACACAGCTTCATCCTGGACCGATGGGTGCCCAGGAAGGAGGAACTGGGTCTCTCTGAGCACCTGTTAATGGCCAGGCGCCACAGATCGATTTGGGCCACAGCAGCCTGTGAGGGAGGCAGTATTACTCTAGCCGCAATTCGCAGGTGAGGAATGAGGCTCACAGTGAGGCTCAGGAGGCTGGCCTAGGGCTGGCCATCTCCCAGACCTTCCTTGGGGAAGTCCAGCCTCCCTGAGCTTGTTCCTGACGGCCGCCCCAGCAGCCTCGTCCTGGTCCCTTGCAGGACTCTGCTCTGGGTGGCTAAGCAGAGGCACTTCCAACCAGGGTCTGAGGCTGCGGCTGCTGCTGGGGCTCCCAA